CATCGTCTTGACTTAAATGTAATATGGGTGTTCCTTTACCTTTCTGGATATATGAATTACTAAGCAATCAACTGAAAAATGTCTCCCAAATTTACTAATTAATTGAATTATAAAAAGTGTTAAAGATCCTTGAAAGTGGTGTTATACTAACACGACTCACGCATGATACTCGTCTGACTCAATTACAGCGCGTGCTTTTCAATTTTATGAACAAAACTTCAGCATTATAAAAGTAATGAATGGCACTTGGTCATCCATGATTTCATAATAGGGTCTTTAGAAATACTGTGAAAATGTCTACTCAAGCAGTGGTATTAACAATTTGTGGATTCCAAAAATCCTTAAAGATTTTCTGGATAATTTTAAACCTTGATCTGAAATTATTTCTATCAAAACTTGTGAGTGTTTTTCAACCTTGTATACCACTAGTCCCCATCTGAAATTGAAAAATCGTTTAAAAGAAATAATCCACACTGCTGTTTAATATACAGATAGTAGGAAACACTATCCATTTATTGTTTTTGGATATCATACGGTATATTTTGTTAATAGTTAACACAATAATCAGTATGCTGACGTTTCTTATTGACAAAATATTTGTTGAATTTGCAGGTAGACTTTGTCAATAAATTGTCGTTATTCCTATGGAAACGAACTGTGCGACTCTCCTTGTCGACCTCTTCTTATTTTTATATGAGTCGACGTACCTTCAGGCACTTTTCAAAAATAATAAAATCAAAGAAGACTGATCATTTAATTTCACATTCAGATATATTGATGATGTTTTTCTATTAACAATCCAAACTTTTCTGATTTGTTCCATTTATATATCCCTCAGAGCTAGCAATTAAAGAAACAACAGACACGGCTTTCCTCCGCCACATTTTAAGACTGATACCTCGAAAATGAGATAAGCGGTCATCTCAGTACCAGAATCTGTAACAAACGAGACGATTTTAATTTTGAAATTATAAATTTTCCCCACCTTAATAGCCATATACAAATTTTATGCATGGTCCAACTCATTCGGTATTCAAGAGCTTGAAGCGAATACTTAGACGTTATAAAACGTCACCAGTGTCTGAGCAGAAAGCTGATGAACAAGGGTTATGTCCGATAACGTCTCGTCCTTTTTCTAATAAAGTTCATCAGAAGATACCAAGACCTTGTTGATAAATATTCAAAAAACAATACATGATGGTCTTGAAGTCTAAATTATAGGTACTGACGTTGTTTATTGCCTTATTTAAGTGTTATAATGTTATTTTTGTTTGTCTTTGCATATTTTTAACCTTTAATGGCTAGTCCATTTTTGATAATATACTTTAAGCGTGGTTCGGTATTTATATATCCCGCCATTGCATTATTGTGCTATGGTCATTTTTTGTATTCATTTTTGCGTATGCACTTTGTCTATAGAATGTCTATTCCCATTTCGTCTTTCTTTGTTGATATATTTCTTTGTTTGTATAATGATCAAGATTATAACACAATGTTGATTGCTGTACCCCAAATTTTGAATTTTGTACCTGTTGTGTCTGTTTGTTTTCCTCACACATTGTTGTCAATATAAAGGACTTATATGTGACTGTCAAGCAATTGAGACGTTTAGTTAGCAACACAACCAGATGTATTCCACCATTTGCTACATAAGAAAATGCCTGTTCCAAGTCAGGAATATGACAGTAGTTTTCCATTCGTTTGATGTGTTTCAGCTTTTGATTTTTCCATTTTATGAAGGACAGTTTTTTTGGGATTTTGCTTTTTGATATAGATCTAACCTCCAAAAATAACGCTATTGTTGAACAAAATGTTTAACTACAGCGCTTTTAAATTTTACTAAAAGAGACAATGATTTTTTAAGACCGCAGTTTTTGTCACACAAATCGTATTTAATCTCGTGATTATAAGCTAAGTCTGGTATCTTTGATGAGTTTATACATTGCACTAGAAATTTAGAAATAGAGCACTTTAATCTATTATCTTAGAACTTTCGCAGAGTAACTGAACCAAAAAACTAAAAAAAAAAAATGACATTGTCAAAAACAACAAGAAAATATCTAACAGTAGATACATCGGTTTTTTATTGTTTTTGTTTTCTGTTTTAGATTACATCAGCAACGTGTGAGTGAACATGACAGATATTGTGATAACGGCATGTTCTGAACTGAAATGTGTAAACACAAATTTCTAATTTAATGTCTGATGTAAGTAAGTGTTAACAATATTTATTAAACACTGTCGTCATACATAAATCTCGAAGTAAACTTTAAGGATTTGATGATCAGCCCACAACAGCATTACTTATGCAAGAACACATTTGGAAACGAAGAACAATCATTGATTTGGCTATTATGTTAGGGTTCGGTTCATCATACATTTATTTTCTTCAGTACTTTTCTGGGTTTTTTAAATGCTTGCTCTACGCGTTCCTGCTGGAGGTCAATATAGGAAAGTGCTTCAAAAGCATATAATTTTTAAACTGATATTGTCTTTTTTTTTAGTTTATACATTACACATGACATTTTTAAAATAGAACCCCTTAACATATTGGGTTTTTCCCCATAGTGAGTGTCGGGTGTTGAAATTGTATTGTTTATGTTAAAAAATTTTCTAAGTTTTCATATATGAAAATTTTAAAGAAACTAAGGTTCCAACTTCCTAAGGCAAATTTGACATAAGATACACTTAATTATTTCATGTTTTTCATGTCGAGGCCTTTTACGGCCTACTTTTCAATATGGTTTTCATTGTTGAAGGCCGTACGGTTGCCTATAATTGCCTACATCCACTTCATTTGAATTTCGGTGGATAGTTGTCTCATTAACAATTATACCACACACCTTTATTTTCATATAAACTATATTCTTTAGTAATTTTAATTTTTTATCAATTAGCTCTTATTTCCGTATTTATGAATCCCTGGCTTTCTTATGTTAAGTGTAAAAATCAAACATTTGATTACGGGAATGGAACAAACATGTTGTTATGAGCAACATTTAAATATAGAAAATAAGGGGTTTTTAATACTGCAGCCCACCCACCAAAATATTAAAAAAACACGAAGGAGAACGTATGGTCTTATACAATACATGGGTGTGTACAATAATTGCCTACGATAGTTCAATTTATGACTGGAGTTAATTAGTTGTCCACATTAGTTAAATCTTGATATTATTTAAGTACGTCTCTATCTAGAAGTAAAATGGGATACTTTGACACTTTTTTTCTTATAATTACTTAACAAGTTATATTATATTTGTTGTTAATGAATTGCTTACTTACCCCTCTAATTTTCATTATTAGTAAGAATATTTCATTAATAATGTATCATGTTTTACTATTGACATTAACATGGTTATAACCAGGTAGTTTAGTTTTATATTTTCCTTGGCTAGTTTTATGTTGCGTTCACCCCTAAGCGCAAGAATCTAAATTCTAGCAGAGCAGGATGTGCTTTCCTTTTTTTCAGCACAACAAATCAACTCAAGTGTGTTTGTTCGACTTTGGTAACTAAATGTAAAATGATGTTTGTCTTTTCGTCGTTTTCAGTTTCTGTTTACCCATGACGTACAACATCTTCAAAATGTAGAGGTCAAATTAACCAAATGATGATTACACAACCAAAAACAAAATGTGATTGTAAACAAAAAACAAACATGGAAATCTGTTTGTTATAGTATGATGGTAAATTAACTTGAAGTAAAAATGAAATAAACCAAAGTGTCTGTGTTTTAAAAAAAGATGTTATTTGCAAAAAGAAAAAAAAAATGAAAACACCACGTTATCAATTCCAATTTTCTTGATGAACCTTCATCAGAAACTCTCAAAGCCGAATATTTTAAAGCCAAGGCTGTGTAAGAACTGAATCAGTTGAAGAGCAAAATGAACAAAAAGGACGCAAAAAAAACATTTTCATCTAAGTTCAACTAACATGTTCACTATGCACACTAACATTGCTTATAACAAAGTTGTTTAGATATATGTTTTCCTCAGCTAAACAATGTTGTGTTCACACCTAAACACAAAAAACTAAATTCAAGTAGAGCAGGGTGCGGTTTCCTTTTAGCAGCACAACATTTAGGTTTGGGTAACTTAATGTAGAATGCTGGTAAAAATAACAGAATATAAACTACACAGCCAACAATCAAATGTGATTGTAAAAAAACACAAACAAGCATGACATTCGGTTTGTGATTATATTTATTAAACACATTTACTAACTTCTAGCATTTCATTTCAAGTTTTTCTTCGTGTTTGTGTTACCTACAATAAGAAGATACACCAATTAAAATGTTAGTACAAAATTCCAGCATATCGATATTACTAATCTAAACAAAAAAGGCATCAATGCTTTAGTGAAGGTCCACTTATGTGTGTGATACAACAAATCTATCGGACTGTGAACTATATGTCAAAATTTAGACATTATAATATATATTGTTAATTCTGCAGCGAATTCAATTAAACAGCACATAGATCAGGCAATGCCCACATAATAATCATCTAATAGATTCAAGGCAGAAAACACTCTCCTTCATAATGAACAGAAAAATACATTGCTCAGAGTTTCTCTAATTGCATGTGTAGCGGACTATGCACGTACTATCGATAATACACAGTTTCAAGGAACGCCATGTAGACTTCTACATGAGGTTTCATAAAGAAAAAATCCTGAAGTGGAAAGCTCACATACACTACTTTTTTTTGCCAAAGAAAGAAACAAAAAAACAACGGTTTTTGTACAACAACTGTATTCTTCGAACGTCGTAGTATTCAAGCGTATGCATGCCTAGCAAAATGTCTTGCTCAAAGTATATATGTTTGACGATGTACGTACACCGCAAATACACAGAGGAAATAATAAATGTCATAGAACATATATATACAAGAAATACAAACTTACATTTCAAATACTTAATAATATCCTCCTTTACCAATTGGTCCACTGACAACACTGCTGCCTCCTCCAATGACACCAACAGAACCTCTGACAACACCACCAATTGGACCTCCGATACCACCAATGGAACCAAGAAGTCCACTACCACCTCCTAAAATACCACTTACACCACCGACAATACCTCCACCACCAATAAGACCAGCTCCACCAAGTGAAAGACCGTAATTTTGGTTGGTTACCCACCATGGCAATAAGGAACAACAAGTATTCAATCTACCAGGAAGAAGAGGTGCCAAGTTACAGTTCTTGTTGAGTTTTATTTGTCCTGGAGCACATTTCAAACTACATGTGCACCATGGTCGACCTCCACCAACAAGTCCTGTAAATAAATCAATTTCAAGATTTGTTGTCATGTATATTAAATAGTATAATTGGTTGATGGGATGTACACTTGATATATTGTGTTTGACCGAAGCAATTTTCGGAATTTACCTATGTGTAAATACAATGGAATGTTTAGAGTTCTATGACGAAAACGAACTTTAACAGATAGCCAAATGTATCTGTGGTTAATTTTGATTGATTGAGTCTGAACCGTAGATTCTACACAATTTTTTACGTTATCACCGAGGTAGATAACGTTGAGCTGAGTATATCATCGGCAACTTACAGTTCTCCATGTTCTGACCCTAACTGGTAAATTAAATCAGCACTTGACGAATGTCATGAGTCTATGGCATGTCATATGGATTTATATTCAGCTGGAACGTTTATTTTCGTATAAGGCACATATTCATTATAAATTAGGTACAGTGTTGTAAGAAAGAGACATATCATTTAAGAACACAGATAGATGAATATATGACAGATAAGTCTTGCAAATATTTGAATTAAAATGTGTGATGTTATATTATGTGTATTATATCGTATACTTGGTTAATGAAATAACAATCGATGAAATTGTGTTCATCTTAAAGCGATTTTTAGAATTCTTATCTATCGCGAATTTTTTGCTTAATCTAAATCAGAAACGCTCATTAGTAAGCATTTGAAATCTAGAGATGCGTATATACAATACAATACTAGGAGTTCTATGTGACTAACAGATATTTAAACAGACAGACACAAGAGTAGGTTCGATCAATCCCCAAATTAGCTCTTGTTTTTAGCACTACTTTCGAATTATAATTTCCTGACCAGATTAGCAACCAATATAGCTAATACAATAACAAAATTGTGACGTCAAAATAGCACTCAATTTAATTTTCAACGAAAATTAAATAAACAGAGGAACATTTACATTTATCAACATAAAATATCTTTTCGAGTAATGTTTCCTAGAACATTTCAAATTTTTAATTATAATAGTTAGTTTGGCAAAGCCTGCGCCCCAGATATGTTTCCTATGCCTAAATGTAATTAAAATTTGGACATTTTTTTCAAATTGCGCAAATATCTTCATTCCTTGGCCTTTATTGGGATGTACAAATCAACGCTGTAGAATAACATTTTCTTTCATGCCTTTTCGTCATTTTGAAACATTTTTTTCTCCTGAATAATTGAACGTAATAACGGGGCCAAATATGACCTTTATCAAATTTATTCCTTTAACTTTGGTCGATGGAGTATAAACATCAGATTTTAAAAAAAATCCTTAATTTAGGAAACAGGGACTAACAATCGATCAGGTGGTATGCCTTGCTGGAAATTTAGATAAGTACTTGGCAAATTGCGTGCGACCAGTGCGGTTTTTTTTTTGTAATGTTGCGTTCATCGGGACGTCTACCTTCCTTTAATGCACATATTCAGTAGAAATGCAGCGATTTTTTAACACAAAGTAATACAAAAATTGCAAATTATTTATAATATAAATGGTCAATTCCAAATTACCTGTATTTAAACCTCCGATCACTCCACCTAATCCACCTAATCCACCTACTCCAGCTAATCCACCTAATCCACCATTATTTAACAAAAGTCCACTACCACTGACAATTCCTCCAGCCCCACCAATAACTCCACCGCCTCCAATGAGTGATCCACCTGTGACAACTCCACTACTACCAAGTCCTCCTAACAATGGACCTACTTTGCCATACGCCGAAACGGATCCGACAAGTGAAACTAAAAGTAGAGTCAACATTATCGTGGTTTTACTTGATCAGTAGAATATGTGAAGTTCTATTCGGATATGTTTGTCCTTTTATACTACTCTTATCGTAAGGCACGTAATACATTGGTTACAAAAACTAGTGGTTTGATATATTATGAAAAAGGAGAGTTTTTAAATTGTGGTTAAAAAATGTTCAGTTCAGACATATGTTTATAAAGTAGGGCATTTGTTTGTGGACAAAATCCGATACAGAGCATGCAACTATCACGAACGTTAGAGATGACTATATTAGGTCAAAGAATAACAAAATGTTTTGCTGATGTAGGCCATAACCTGCCAATTTTCACTATTGCATCAGATTATATGTTTTGATAAAAAGAGGCACTTTATTAATTGCATAAGTATTGTAGCTTGAAAGAATAGATTGATACAAAAAAAGTATATCTTTTAGACTTTTGTATTGCATCTTCATAAGAAGAATAAAACAATTGAAGTGCAAAAAATACATCGTCTTGACTGAATAGGCAATATTATACGAACACTTAGTGTTTCTTTATTTTTCTGGATATATGAATTACTAAGCAATTACTTTTAAAATACCGAGTCTGCCAATTTACCAATTCATCAATTACAAAAGAAAAGTAAAGGTCCTTGAAACTGATGTTATACTAACACGACTAATGCATGATAATCGTCTGGTTTGATTACAATGTGTACTTTATGAACAAAAAAAATGGGATTCCGAAAGTTATCAATGGCGCTTGGTCATGCATCATTTGGTATTGATCTGACCTCCAGAATAACGTTATTTGTAAACAAAAATTACAGCGCATTTCGATTTTACAGACTTTGATATATACGTACGTCAGTCAATATTCTACTCTGTACGTTGCATTTTCTTAATGATTGGATTACTTCAACCAGTCCTAAACTATTACGACTAGGGCAATTGATATAATTGGAAATGGATCAGCCACCCTGACAGTTTTTATTATATACATGTTCAGTGTTCAGATAGTTTAAAAATCGCAATTTGACAACCTACTTGTTTTACTGAAAAAGACACTTGTTTTTCAACACGGCTGTTTTTCTCAAACAAATCGTATATCATCTGGTGATTATAATTCTGGTAACTTTTGTGAGTTTACATATTGCACTAGACAATTAATAAAAATAGCAATTTAACATATCATCTTATAGCTATCGTAGAGTAACTGAATCAAACAACTCAAGAAACATAATTAAACTGTCAAAAATAGCAAGAAAATATTTGAAAATTGATAAATCGGTTTTTGCTATTTCTGTATTCTGTTTTGGATTACATCAGCGAAGTGTGCGTGACCATGAAAGATGTTCGTGATAACAGCATGTTCTGTACTGAAATGTGTAAAAAAATGTATCAGTAAATATATTAGGTTAGTAAGTGTTAACCATATTTATTAAACATTGTCATCATACATCAATCTCGATTTTTTTTTAACGAATTGACGATAAGTCCACGACAGCACTAGCTTATGAAAGATAACATTTAAAAACGAAGAACAATCTTTTATTTTCACCAACTTTGAGGTCTTAGACAAATGTTTCATCATCTTATCCTAAGGAATACCCTGTATTTTAGAATGAAACAACATCAGGCAAAGTTTACCTAAGATTGATTTGGCTGTTATTTTAGGGCCGTTTTCGTCAGATATCTATTTTCCACCGTACTTTTACATCCTTGTTTTTCAAACTTTTGCCGTAAGCTTTCATGAGGTCAATCAAAGAAAGTGCTTCACACGCAGACATTTTCAACCTGATATTTTTAATGAGTTCATACATTACACTTAAAATATTCAAAATAGAACCGTTTATCCTATTCTTCTCTAATTAGTTGTTGTGTTTTAGATTTAAATGGGTGTTTGCCATTGTGAGAGTAAGGTGTTGACATTTGATTGTTAATGTTAAAATTTTTAAAAACTGTAATACGTTCTCATATAAGGAAATCTGAAAGAAACTAACGTTCAACTTCAGCAGGCAAGTTTGACATAAGATAGATTTAACGATATTGTTTGTTGATTTTTTTTTATCAATTAACTCTTACTTCCGTATGTTTGCATTACAGTCGTTCGTATGTTAAGATTGAGCATTCTCGATGAAGGTTAATCCACATAATCGTTTCGGACACACTAAATGTATAAGCTGTTGATTTATTTTACTAGCACTGATTAGATACTTAATCAGATGTGTAGTTAATGCTTTGGGAATGAAATTATTTATAAAATGTCCTTAATATATATTTCCCGTTTTTATCATGCTTATGTTGAGAAGGTTGAAAGAAAAAACGGTTCCAACTTCCTTAGGCAAAATTGACCTGCAATGGATTTGGTTGTTCTGTAATGGTCTTTTTCAGCATATAGCTTAAAATGTTAGGCGTAATAACGTAACGCTGGCTTTGAAACGTTAAGACCAATTCTCTGTAACTACCAACCATTTCATGTAGGGAGGTCGTCACGCATAGTTGCCGATTTTCCTGAAACTTAGCTTTAACATTTAATCAGGTAATGTTTGCCTATTCTCTTGAGAAATAAAATAGATAGAAACATTAAATATAAAATATCAGCAACACAAGATATACAAAAAAATAAACTTGGTTGAACTCGTCAGCTGATTCCTTTTAAGAGTTACAGCCTTTTAATGACGATTTCAATCATTTTTTTGCGTTTTTGTTAAATTACAAAACATATCAGCAAGACAAGCTTACGAATAAGTCAGCATGGTTTGAATTGGTCTGACGACCCCTTATTATAGTTATTGCCCTATAAAGGCGAGTTTTGTGTAACAGTCGTCATGTAGTGTGAACATATCTTAATAAAGAATGTGTTATATGTAGCTACAAGATAAAATAAATAAGAAATATATAAGTAATTCAATAATTGGGATAAGGACAAAACAGCAGTGGTTATTTAAATCTGTCTCCCTTAGTACCCGTTTAAGGGGAAAACGCCTATATGGAATCAAAAGACAGTTTCGGCAATGTTGCTTTGTTAGTCTTTTAGTAATTTTTGCTATTACATTTTCGATCTATC